TTTTTAGTAGATATGAGGGTCTCACTTAGCTCAGACTGGTCTTGGCCAGAGTGCCAGGATTACAGGGATGAGCCACTATGGCTGGCCTATTCTAATATTTTTAAAGCTAGAGAGTCTGAAACGAAGGAAAAGTATTTAAATTCATCTCTCTTGAATTAAAAAATGCATATTTAGTAAAATAAGGACATAAAATGAAGAATTTTAATTCTCATCTTAGAAAATTATACATGTAATATCATTACTCATAACAATTCATATTTTAATTTTAAATTAAACAATTCTGTTAGTTGGATTTTTAGGTGATGCGAAGTTAAGCATAAATTCTTTATTTATTTTTATTTTTTATTTTTTATTTTTTTTGAGACAGAGTCTCACTTTGTTGTCCTCTATGGAATACATGGCATCACAGCTCACAGCAATGTTAAACTCTTGGGCTTAAGCGATTCTCTTGCCTCAGCCTCCCAAGTAGCTGGGACTACAGGTGCCTGCCACATGCCCGCCTGTTTTTAGAAAAGGGGTCTCTCTCTTGCTCAGGCTGGTCTCCAATCTGAGCTCAGGCAATCCACCCACCTTGGCTTCCCAGGGCGCTAGTATTACAGGCATGAGCCGCCATGCCTGGCCTATGTCTCTTAATAATTGCTATTTTAGATACTAAATGGTAATTTCAATACTGATCAAATATCAGTATTTAAAAATAAACTATATGTGTTAAAATTTTATGAAGCATAAATATGTTCTAAACAAAAAAAATCAGACTAGTGGCATTGTTTTATATTTTTGCAAATCATTTTGATTTGCAGCATTCTAGAAGACATCTAGATTTTGCTTCTGTTTTCACTTTGTTGTATTTTGGTAGAGATAAGTGAAGAGAATCCATCCAGCTTCACATAGCTATGTAGTTGGAAAAGGAAGAAGTATTTTTTTTTTGTAGTTTTTGGCCAGGGCCGAGTATGAACTTGCCACCACTGGCATATGGGGCCGCTGCCCTACTCCTTGAGCCACAGGCGCTGTCCAAGGAAGAAGTGTTTAATAGTCTTTTCAGAGTGAGTATTCTTCTTTGATATTACACCAAAATTCAACAAATGGCAGTTTTTTTTAAAGTGTACTTTGGAACATGGGATCATACTGTATTCCAAAAGTGTGTCTAAGACCCACAGGAAGTCTATGGCATATATTGAGCCTAAAGAAGAACATAAAGGGTGAGAGACACGATGACTGTCTTCAGATATTTCAAAAACAGAAATAGAAGAAAGAATAGATTTATTTATTCTCCTATTTTAGGAGGCAAACTAGCAGGTGAAAATTAGGAAGACATAGATTGATTTTGATGTAATTTTTTGACAAGAACTATTGCAACTAGACTTGAAATGGGTAAACCAGCAGTGGAACTGGCACCAGTAGAAAGAAGTATGATACTTGGTTGTAAGAATTTAAAGTGGACTATAGGGCCATACTTCAGGGGAAGATTTGGATAAATTCTGTAGATTTCTTAAAATGGGTGCTATTGGATTAA